CTCGGGGAACATCTAGCTCAACTGGCATAACAGTTTATAAAGACAATGTTCTACATTCTACCTTGGTGAGTAGCGTCTGGGGTCTTAAAAGCCTGTGAGCAGCCATCTAAGATACTCCACTGGTCTCCCCGCTTTGGGAGCAAGGGAGAATGAAGAGAACAGCATACAAGGAAAAGATTAGTCCGAAGAACTAATGGACCACAACTACCATGGCCTCCACCGACTGAGTCCAGTGCAACTAGATGGTGCCCGGCTACCACCACTGACTGCTCTGATAGGGATCACAACAGGGTCTGGGACAGAGGTGGAGAAAAATGTAGAACAAAATTCTAACTCACAAAAAAGACCAGATTTACTGGCCTGAAACAGACTGGAGAAATCCCGTGAGTACGGCCCCCGGACACCCTTTTAGCTCACTAATGAAGTCACTCCTGAGGTTCACCCTTTAGCCAAAGAGACAGGCCCATAAAACAAAACGAGACCAATGAGGCACAACAGCCCAGGGACAAGGACTAGAAGGCAGGAGGGGACAAGAAAGCCAGTAATAGGGAACCAAGGTTGAGAAGGGACAGTGTTGACATGACATGGGGTTGTTAACCATTGTCATAAAACAATATGTGTACCAATTGTTTAATGAGAATCTATTTGTTCTGTAAACCTTCATCTAAAGTACAATAAAAAAAAGAAAGCTCTCCCCAACCAAGTGACCGGTAATAGATAGCCCCTGACATGCACACTGCTTCACTCTCTGCCGTGTACTTCATCCAGTCCTTTCCATTCCCCCAGTTCAAGTGAGGCAGCCCCTGTCACAGGTTTCCTCAAACTTCCTCCAGAAGACTAGAATTTGAGGGCACATCATTTACTTGGGAGGTGATCCCAACAGGCTCCAATAGAGGAGGAGGGGAAGTGAGACAGGGAAGGGAAGACAATATAAGGGATGTCAATGATCAGGTCACCTCTGTGGGCAACTGGGGGCTGGGAGGGCTCAGTCCTGCTGGGACTCTCTGGGAAACTTTGTAGGATGTGCCTCAGAGTTGTGCCCCCAAGAGATGAGGAAGCTGGGGTATTTATCCACCAGTCATTGGCTGAGGGCTGCTCCCAGGCAGACCACTCTGTGGCCAAAGTCCCCAAGCAGACAGACATGCATGCTTGAGGTCAGAAGCTGTCAGCATGAGAGTGCTGAGGGGATATGGCTGGGGCACCAACATTGCTGCTAGAGCCACTATGGTGGTGCCCGTGCCAGATACCAAGAATGCAGCGCAGAGCTCTTGCATTCTTCCCTTCCCCCTCCTTGTTGGTTTATATTTTGAAGATACTACAGCAAGGCTGTAAGGAGCCTGGTGGTGCAATGGTTAAGTGCTCAGCTGCTAACCAAAAGGTCGGGGGTTCAAACCCACCAGCACGAGAGAAAAGACCTGGCAAGCCACTCCCGTAAAGATTACAGCCTAGGAAAGCCTATAGGGCAGTTCTATTCTGTCCTATAGGGTCATTATGAGTCAGAATTGACTTGATGGCACCTCACAACAGCAAAGTTCTAGGTCATCTTTTCTGTCTCCACGCACACCTTCTCAGGCATTGGGGGTCGCTGCCCAGTTTGGGGGAGCTTGAGGGGATGCACATGAGCACTTGGACTTGTAATCAATCGAAGGTAAACCTTCCAGAGAGGAGTGCAGACCCAGAGATCCCCCGACACACTCAGCACAGGAGCTAAGGCATCGGCCAAGCTGCCAGGGTCATAGGACTTGCACATTCTTCCTGCTTATAGGAAGTCGTCCCCTCAGAAGCAAACACGTTGTCATCAAGTCGATTCCGACTCATGGCAGCCCCATGTGTTACAGAGTAGAACTGCTCCATAGGGTTTTCTTGGCTATAATCTTCACAGAAGCAGATTGCCAGACCTCTCTTCCACAGTGCCACTGAGTGCGTTCGAACCACCAACCTTTCAATTAGTAGCCAAGCACAAACTGTGCCACTCAGCGACCAAAATAAAACCAAACCTGTTGCCATCAAGTCGATTCTGACTCATAGTGACTCTATAGGACAGAGGAGAGCTGCCCCGTAGGGTTTCCAAAGAGCAGCTGGTGGATTTGAACTGCCAACCTTTTGGTTGGCAGCCAAGCTCTTAACCACTGAGCTACCAGGAAGAGGACTACAAAACAGAATGAGGCATGGCTCCTCTCATTTAAAACGGGCAGGGGCAGGGCACGGGAAGAATGGCTGTTTGCAGCACAGCGGAGGTGCAGTGCCCCAATTCCTTCCCGTCACCCAGTGATGAGCCCACCACCTGCAGAGGTGCTGGGACCCTCTCCTTTCCTGCCTATTGCTGCTTCTCCTCCTCCTCTCTGTCTCTGTGTCTGTCTGGATTCTCTCTGCTTCTCGCAGTGGGCTTCTATCCCCTTCTGAGTACTGTCTCACTCTCTTCCTCTCCCACTGTCCCCCCCCACCACCCTCCACTCCTCTTTTCTCTCTCTCTGGGCCACTGGGTCTTGAAAGTGCCCCCATCATTCTCTCATGTCTCACTCCCTCCCTTCAGTCTCTCCACTGCCTACCCTTTCCCTGAGCTCCCCAAGGCTCCTTCCCATCCTCCATTAGAGCTGGTGTACACCTCTTTGAAGGGGTTGGCGTTGCAGTGATAGGAGCTGCATCAATAATTAGTGGAAGAGAACATGACACATGTATCCCAGTGGCATGCTGGCTCCGTCGGCAGCAGATGGAGGCCTGACAGGCTCATCCATTGCCAAGGACCATGCGAGTGTCAGTCACCAGCAGCCGTCCACTCAACAGCCTCCTTTTAGCCACGATCAACATTTCAAAAGCGAACACACAAGGCCTACAGTAGGTTCCTATAATTCACCCAAGGGTTGCGCCTGCCGCTGGGAGACAAGCCGCGTTCTTCTCTTACAGTGAGCTATTTTTAAGACCGCTCCCTTCTCGCTCCCGGATCCCGTTTCCAGCCCAAGCACTGAATTAGATTCTCTCTTCATTTTGTAGGCTCCCCTTCTCTGTTATTATATAAAACCGTTTCAGCCCTTAAGGAGTTGGCATCTGACATCCACTGCTTCTGAATCCCCAGGAACAGAGACGGGAAGTAATAAACAGAAGGGAGGGAAAGAAATGCTCTGTTTCTGCTCCAGCGACACGAATCGTCTGAGAGTTAAATAGCAACAAAGTATTTGGTGTTAATCTTTAATATTCCCAGGAACTTGTCACCTCCTCCTTCAGTCCCTGAGCTGCCATGCTCCAAGTGATTTTGGTGCCTCTCACAAGATATCACATCTTCTATTATGCTCTAAAAAAAGTACCCACCAGAGGGAAGTTCTTAGCGATTAGACTGCCAAAAAAACACGGGGCTGCTCCTCGCTATTTACAAGGAATTGACTGAAAAGGATGAGCCGTGGATTCCTTTCTTGTCGGGCCTGCCTTTTTCAAGCAGGCCTTGTCTCAATGTCTGATTTTTTGACAACTATCAAGGGATGGAGGTGGCATCAGAAAGTGGAAATGGAGAGGGGCTGGGAGCCAGCCGCCCCGCCTGAGTGTGCCCCTCCAGATAGCAGCTCATTCCCACCTTAGATGAGATCAGCCAGGGTGCTAACGCAGGTAGCAAGATTCTTCCTCTAAAATACACCTGTGGCAGGTGGTCTTAGTGTGGGTTCTCCTAGAAGCAGACGCTGAGACAAGGATTCCAATGCAGGTAGATGACCTGAGAGGTGATTCCAAGCAATACCTATAGGGAAGTGGAGAAACAAGATAGGAGGGAAGGTAGGCAGTAACGGGTGTGTTACTGAGCAAGTAAGAGCACTGGAAGCACAATGATTAAGCACTCAGCTGCTAACCAAAAGGCTGGTGGTTCGAATCCACCCATCAACTCTGCTGGAGAAAGACCTGGTGATCTGCTCCCATAAAGATGACAGCCTAGAAAACCCTATGATGCAGTTCTTCTCTGTCACGTGGGGTCACTATGAGCCAAAATTGACTCGACAGCATCTAACAACATCAACATTGAGCAAGTTACCACTGGGGGTGCCTACAGCTTAATGCCCTTGGGAACTCTGGGAGAGAGTGTAGAACACAACTTAGAGTTGTTACAGTTGAGGGGCAAGGGAGCTGGGGTATTGGTCTACCAACTCCTGCCAGTCCTTGACTGAACTCTGGGCTTCTGCATGCTGGCTGCAAAGAACACCTCAGGTAAAGAGAAACAGATGCTGGCTGTTGCAAGTATACTGCAATGGTAAGCTAGAGGGGACATGGGAGTGGCACCCAAGGGCAAAATCAGGGACTCTAAATTTACCAGATAAATACTGCCCTTACTACACCAAGCCTTTTCTCCTTGGGTGCCTTCTGGGTTTGTAGGCATCAAGCTACGTAAGGTCCAGAAGTCTTTGACCCAACACCATATCAAAAGATTTTTATACCGAAAGAGTTTCTCTTCATTTTGGAGAGGCGTTGCCTTGATAGAAGGCCACATTCTAACCCAGGTTGCCTGCAGGACTTTCCGAAGTTGAGAAACCCATTCTTCTTTCCTCTGTCTCCCATGGACCTAGTGTTGCACTCAGGCAAAGCAGGGCATGAAAGATGAAGGAAATGAAGGACTTCCTCCCTGCCTCCCTGCCCTGAGGCAGCTCGCCCCTGCCATCGTCTCTTCCAAAATCCAGTTCTTCTGTAGAAGTGCTTATTGCTATGCAGTATGTCTTCTGACACACTGTCTCCCTCCTGGCTCCATGAGGACCGAGACTGGGTCTTTTCCAGAACTGTAGCACCAGGACTGGAAAGGTGGTAGATATACACTAGGCTTTTCTTAAATGAATGAATAGATGTCATTGGTCCCCACCTAAGAACTTTTGGCTTCCCATTATCTATAGGATTAAGTCCAAAACCCATTGCCGTTGAGTCGATTCCAACTCATAGCAACCCTACAGGACACAGTAGAACTGCCCCATAGGGTTTCCAAGGAGTGTCTGGCGGATTCGAACTGCTGACCTTTTGGTTAGCAGCTGAGCACTTGACCACTGCACCACCAGGGCTCCAGGATTAAGCCCAAACCCATTAATATGACATCCAAGGCCCTTCCCAATTTTCTACCCTAATTTCCCATTCAAGTCTCATGCCCCATCATCCCTCACATGGGATTACTGACTATTTGGCCAAAATGTCACCTTTTTTTCACTGCTTTGGTCTTGGCATGTGCTATTTCCTCTACCTGGAATACCCTTCCCTCTTCTCTACCTGCTAAATGGCTATTCACAACCCTTTAAGATTCACCTCAAATGTCTCTTCTCTGTGAAGCCATCCCTGATTCCTCCAAGTGGTGCAATCTGACCAAATAGGCAGGCCTAGTGTGTGTTTGGGGCACCAGCAAACAGAGACAAACCACAATTGTTTTTATATAATAAAATAATATTTAAATAATATTTCAAAAAATAAAGGCAGCAAAATAGTCAGTATGGAAAAACACTAAGAAGTGGTTTGGCCTTTGTTACACATTTTACAGTTTGAGATATTTTTGCTTTGTTTTGTTTTAACTACTCAAGCTTGGGGAAGGAGGCTCCATAAACCTTTCAGAGTTTAAGGCTGAGACCTTATTATCACTCTATTTCCAGGCACTGAAAGTCACTCATTCATTCATTCAGCACACTGTGCCAGGCATCATGCAAGGCACCAGCTCCTGGAGATGCAGATATGCATATGAGTCAGGCTTTCTCCTCCAGGACCACCCACTCTGGAGAAAGTGACCAACATGTTATAGTTCCTTAACACACTGCGTGGTTCCTGACTCATTTGAAAGAACCTGCCCTAGCAAAATAATACTGATAGCAATGGATTACCACCCATAACACAAAGTTAATATTCAAGAGTCCACACTGATCTGAATGAACAGGAGAGAAGACATCTCTTTTACAGTAGAATTCTAATTAATAAATGTACAAGGAATGATGGAAATAGAAAATCACCACTTGGCCACCACATTAATAATGGCTGAAGGCAAGTAAAAAAAGCCAAACGCTTGCCGTCGAGTCGATTCTTATTCATAGCGACCCTATAGGACAGAGTAGAACTGCCCCACAGGGTTTCTAAGGAGCGGCTGGTGGATTCAAACTGCTGACCTTTTGGTTAGCAGTCGAGCTCTTAACTATCGGGCCACAATCATCCCAAAATGCTAAAATTAGTGGGTAAAAGTATACTGAGAAACAAGATTATTTGCATAGTCTCCAAGTATCTCTTCAAAAGATACGTCTTAATTACAAAGGGAACAACAAGAACTTTGCAGTGGAGAAACCTGACAGACACCACTTTAACCAAGGGATCAAAGTTAATATCACCAACAATAAGGCATTCTGGTGACATACGCCTCCTGATCTGATGTACTGAGAAGGGCACAAGATCATTTTCACAGTATTTCCACCCAAAATGCATAACTTCAATCTAATCATGAGAAAATATCAGACCAATCCAAATTAAGAGACAGTCTACAAAACATACGGCTGGTACTCTTCAAAAATGCCACGGTCATAAGAGGCAGAGAGAGACTGAGGAAATGTCCCAAATTAAAGGAGGTTATGGAGACATGACAACCAGGTGCAATTTGGGATCCTGTATTGAATCCTGAACCAGAAAAATGACATCAGTAGAAAAATCGGCAAAAGATGAATAAGGTCTGTAGACTGGTTAATAGGGTGGTACCAGTGTTAATTTCTTGGTTTTGATACTTATAGTACGGTTATGTAAGATAGTAACATTAGGGAAAGCGGAGTGTACGGTAGACAGGAACTCTGTGTACTATTTTGGCAGCTTTTTTTTAAGTCTGAAATTATTTCAAAATAATAAGTCAAAACTACATGGAGGGAAACAATCCTGCCCTGTTTTCCCACATCATTTTATCACAGCACCTGAGGGACTGTTGTGGACTACCTGGCTTATTTATTTCCATCCCCACATGCCTGTTACCTCCTCCAGGGACTGTGTCTAATTCTCTCTGGGCTCCCTGTGGTGCTGATATGCAGAAGGTTCCATATCCCTCCCAACACCCACTCGTTGCACTATTATGGGAACTATGGCTTGGAGGTGGAAAGGGAGCCCGTAGAAAAAATTCTGGACTCAGTGAATGGTGCTGTGTGAATATCACCATGCCTTTTCTGAAGAGAAAAAGTGGTACCAGGATATAGGGTAGATTGTTTGCAATACTGGCCACAATTCTCCACTCTTCCCTTATCCATGCTTCTTTGCAAAGTAATTTCCAGGTCCTCCATCTCCTCCCCTTGAATCCAGGCTGATCTCTACTTGTTTGAGCAACAGGCAGCAGAAGTGACACTGAGCCAGTTTTGAGCCTATCCCCAACAAGGCCTTGCATACTTCTACTCATTCTTCTGGAACCCTGTCCACCCAGATAAGGAAGCCTGAGCTAGCCTGCTGGAAGATGAGTGGTCACACGGCATACAGACAAGCCAACAACCAGCCAACCACCAGACATACGAGTGAAACAATACTTGATCTGCAAACTTGCCAACTGACCAAAGACTCATAACTGTGCCCAACCAAGACCAGAAGAACTACTCCCTGAGCCCAGCCCAAGCTGCTGATTCACAGGACCATGAGCTACATAAATAGTTGTTATTTTAAGCCACCAAGCCTTTGCAATGTTTGTTACACAGCAATGGATAACTTAAATAGGTGGCAAGACCCTTCTATACTCTAGGCTCAGGGGTTGATACTGACAACTGTCTTCTTTGCCCCAAATAGACAAATTCAAAGACATGGATTCCTGTTTTAAACAAAGGCAAGCCCCAACCAAAACAATACCAGAGAAGTTTCCCCTCCTAAGAGAGAGAATTTGGACCCCTCCCCTCAAAAAGTAAGTGAACCCTTGCAAAGGAGTCCCACTGGAAAGGGAGCAAGCACAGGCAAGGCCACCTCAGTACTCCAGAGGTCCTCAGTACTCTGGAGCTGCTAGGGCAAAGGAAATGGAGCTGCTGGTGGAGGGCAGTGATTGAGTAGTCTCTCTGCACAAATCTTGCCCACACCTTCTCCCCTGAAGGATGGCCAGCACACTTCCCTGAGGCTCAGGTTGCAGGGTTTTGATACAAAAACATTTGATACAGCCTCTCTTAGCTGGGCCAGAGCTGCATGACGCCCAGAGGAGTCAGGCTGAAGTAAGTACGCTGGGAACGTGTTTCCCAAAGCGCTATCAGAAAGAGAGGGCAAGAGGGGACCTGGGAAGCCATAGGGCTAGTAAGGATGAGGCAGGAGGGTGTGTGAGGGCTCCTGGAGGCAGGCTTCCCATAGCAGGCTGAGCAGGTACCAGTGTGGGGTCTCATCTGAGCTGGAGATACCTTCCAGAGGCTGGGCAAGAAATGGGCGAGACCCCCAGGAGATGGGATTGCTAGCTAAAATTCCAAGTTAACTCCCAGTGTCGTTGGGCTGGTTGGCCCTTGAGTACCCCACAGTCCATTCCCAAACGCTGGGGCCCCTCTACCACAGAGCTCAAGGACAAAGAGAAAGGGCACAGTGTGAAGGCAGATGTGAGATCCTGGAAGGTATCAGGGCTGTGTATCTTCATGGAGATGGTGGCTGTCCCATGCTGTATCTGTCCCCTCCAATGACGGGCTCAGTCACTGCTTCAAAGTGCTGCTCAATGGTACAGAAGCTGGAAATTTACTCTTTTCTGTCTTCTTGGTCAGGATTCAGTACTGATCTCTGGAACATCCTGTCTTTACCTGCCTGGGGACACAG